ACACCCATGGCCTGTCACACACCCATGTCCTATCACACACCCATGGCCTATCACACACCCATGGCCTATCACACACCCATGGCCTATCACACACCCATGGCCTATCACACACCCATGGCCTATCACACACCCATGGCCTGTCACACACCCATGGCCTATCACACGCCCATGGCCTGTCACACACCCATGTCTTATCACACACCCATGTCCTGTCACACACCCATGTCCTGTCACACACCCATGGTCTGTCACACACCCATGGCCTGTCACACGCCCATGGCCTGTCACACGCCCGTGGCCTGTCACACACCCATGTCCTGTCACACACCCATGGCCTGTCACACACCCATGGCCTGTTACACACCCATGTCCTGTCACACACCCATGTCCCGTCACACAACCATGGCCTGTCACACACCCATGTCCTGTCACACACCCTTCGCCTGTCAACCACATTTGGCCTGTCACACACCCATGTCCTATCAGATACCCATGGCCTGTCACACACCCATGGGCTGTCACACACCCATGTCCTGTCACACACCCATGGCCTGTTACACACCCATGTCCTGTCACACACCCATGTCCTGTCACACACCCATGTCCTATCACACACCCATGGCCTGTCACACACCCATGGCCTGTCACACACCCATGGCCTGTCACACACCCACGGCCTGTCACACACCCATGTCTTATCACACACCCATGGCCTGTCACACATGCATGGACTGTCACACACCCATGGCGTGTCACACACCCATGGCCTGGAACACACCCATGGCCTGTCACACACCCATGTCTTATCACACACCCATGTCCTATCACACACCCATGTCCTGTCACACAACCATGTCCTATCACACACCCATGGCCTGTCACACACCCATGTCCTGTCACACACCCATGGCCCGTCACACACCCATGGCCTGTCACACACCCATGTCCAGTCACACATCCATGCCCTGTCACACACCCATGGACTGTCACACACCAATGTCCTGTCACACACCCATGGCCTGTCACACGTCCATGGCCTGTCACACACCCATGGCCTGTTAGACACCCATGGCCTGTAACACACCCATGGCCTGTCACACACCCATGGCCTGTCACACACCCATGTGCTGTCACACATCCATGCCCTGTCACACACACATGGCCTGTCACACACCCATGCCCCGTCACACACCCATGGCCTGTCACACACCCATGGCCTTTCACACACCCATGGCCTGTCACACACCCATGTCTTATCACACACCCATGTCCTGTCACACACCCATGTCCTGTCACACACGCTTTGCCTGTCACCCACATTTTGCCTGTCACACACCCATGTCCTATCAGATACCCATGGCCTGTCACACACCCATGGCCTGTCACCCACCCATGGTCTGTCACACATCCATGGCCTGTCACACACACATGGCCTGTCACACACCCATGTCCTGTCACACACCCATGGCCTGTCACACACCCATGGCCTGTTACACACCCATATCCTATCACACACCCATGTCCTGTCACACATCCATGGCCTGTCACACACCCATGTCCTGTCACACACCCATGGCCTGTCACACACCCATGGCCTGTCACACACCCATGGCCTATCACACACCCATGGCCTGTCACACACCCATGTCCTATCACACACCCATGGCCTATCACCCACCCATGGCCTGTCACACACCCATGGCCTATCACACACCCATGGCCTGTCACACACCCATGTCTTATCACACACCCATGTCCTGTCACACACCCATGTCCTGTCACACACCCATGGTCTGTCACACACCCATGGCCTGTCACACGCCCATGGCCTGTCACACGCCCGTGGCCTGTCACACACCCATGTCCTGTCACACACCCATGGCCTGTCACACACCCATGGCCTGTTACACACCCATGTCCTGTCACACACCCATGTCCCGTCACACACCCATGGCCTATCACACACCCATGGCCCGTCACACACCCATGTCCTGTCACACACCCATGGCCTGTCACACACCCATGTCCTGTCACACACCCATGGCCTTTCACACACCCATGTCCTGTCACACACCCATGTCCTATCACACATCTATGGTCTGTCACACACCCATGGCCTGTCACACGCCCATGGCGTGTCACACGACCATGGCCTGTCACACACCCATGTCCTGTCACACACCCATGGCCTATTAGACACCCATGTCTTGTCACACACCCATGTCCTGTCACGCACCCATGTCCTCTCACACACCCATGGCCTATCACACACCCATGGCCTGTCACACACCCATGTCCTGTCACACACCCATGGCCTGTCACACACCCATGTCCTGTCACACACCCATGTCCTGTCACATATCCATGGGCTGTCACACACCCATGGCCTGTCACACACCCATGTCCTTTCACATATCCATGCCCTGTCTCACACCCATGGCCTGTCACACACCAATGTCCTGTCATACACCCATGGCCTATCACACACCCATGGCCTATCACATATCCATGGCCTATCACACACCCATTGCCTGTCACACACCCATGGCCTATCACACACCCATGGCCCTTCACACACCCATGTCCTGTCCCACACCCATGGCCTGTCACACACCCATGGCCTGTTACACACCCATGTCCTGTCACACACCCATGTCCTGTCACACACCCATGTCCTATCACACACCCATGTCCTGTCACACACCCATGTCCTGTCACACACCCATGTCCTTTCACACACCCATGTCCTATCACACACCCATGTCCTGTCACACACCCATGTCCTGTCACACATCCATGGGCTGCCACACACCCATGGCCTGTCACACACCCATGTCCTTTCACATATCCATGCCCTGTCTCACACCCATGGCCTGTCACACACCAATGTCCTGTCATACACCCATGGCCTATCACACACCCATGGCCTGTCACACATCCATGGCCTATCACACACCCATTGCCTGTCACACACCCATGGCCTGTCACACACCCATTGCCTGTCACACACCCATGGCATATCACACACCCATGGTTTGTCACACACCCATGTCCTATCACACACCCATGGCCTATCACACACCCATGGCCTATCACACACCCATGGCCTATCACACACCCATGGCCTATCACACACCCATGGCCTATCACACACCCATGGCCTGTCACACACCCATGGCCTATCACACACCCATGTCCTGTCACACACCCATGTCCTGTCACACACCCATTGTCTGTCACACACCCTTGGCGTGTCACACACCCTTGGCCTGTCACACACCCATGTCCTATCACACACCCATGGCCTGTCACACACCCATGGCATGTCACACACCCATGTCCTGTCACACACCCATGGTCTGTCACACACCCATGGCCTGTCACACACCCATGTCCTGTCACACACCCATGGCCTGTCACACACCCATGTCCCGTCACACACCCATGGCCTGTCACACACCCATGGCCTGTCACACACCCATGGCCTGTCACACACCCATGGCCTATCACACACCCATGGCCTGTCACACACCCATGGCCTGTCACACACCCATGGCCGGTCACACACCCATGGCCTGTCACACACCCATGTCCTGTCACACACCCATGTCTTGTCACACACCCATGTCGTGTCCCACACCCATGTCCTGGTACCCATGTCCTGGTGGGCGCACACTACTAGCCTATAAAACACCCATCATGAAACTCTTCCATTATTCAACTTCGCTTTACCCTTCCCCTCTTCCTTCGCCTCTGTCCCGTCACGCCCTTTTGCTTCCCCTGTCGCCCCCTTTCACTCGCCCACCACCCATTTTCGATCTCTCGCGCCCATTTTCCAACCCCACCAATGCATTGCCTTGTACAGAAGCCATCTCCTAGGGAGCTCGCCCACTCCGTCCCTTCTCATGGCGAAATACGGAAAGATACACACAATGGATCATATGCTACATTGACATAGTAATTTCCTCTGTAGATATGGCCCTTCTTTGGCACGTATGAGGACCGTCACAAAACAAATCGGGCCGGAAGTCACAAAATTGACACTTGGGTGACGCGTCAGTATATCCCCTAGAAAGACAAAAAAATATCTTCAAGGGCAGTCCTCGGCATACTGGGAGTTTCATCGGGGAATGAACGCGGACACTCCTCGAGGATTGATTGGCGAATCCAAGCTGTACTGCTGACGATTCGTTTGTGATTACAGTACGCTGTACTCGTTATTGCGCAGTTTAAAGCCCATATTGTGATTGTATAACAATCTTGAATAATGTAAATTACATTTTGACTAAGTCGTATTAATAAACAGAACTTCCATACAATCACAAATATGTATAAGAACCTCTGCATAAGCACGTGTTTACATAAAACAATGTTGCGCCTAAACAAATGCACCTGCTTATAACACACAATTGGCGCATAGGAAAAAACCGCATTATTCACAGCACATTAGTATCCTTCCTTTCGCCCGTTCTAATTAAACTGAATCGTCAGGCTAGATTTCAATACAGGTCAAACTGTTAGAATACAAGAATGACTAGAAACAAGGGTGAACAAGGGAGATATAGGGTTGGAGTTGTACCCTCTAAGAATACACCCCTATCTAGCCTATAACTTCTACATACAAATATATGTATAAGTTGACACACCTCCTAGGCTAGATAAGGGGTAGTGTTTGTTGTGATATAATGCATACTTAGCATTTCTGTAAGTCGATTATCGGTAGATAGTGTCGAATCCTACTGTAGAATATAAGTCTGTGGGATGACGTCAGCAAATAGCGCTCGTCATGAGGACAGTCGTTTCAGTCACGCGAATAGTCGCGTCTCTTCATTATCATTTAGGGCGCATAGCGCGATAGTGACGAACAGGTACATTAGCGAACAGGTACATTAGCGAACAGGTACTTTCCTAGAGCTATAAAATCCTTGTTATGCCTTTCTATTGTTCACCTTGAGATTTCAACTTTGAGACTTTAAACTTGACTTCAACTGAATTATATACTCAGGTTCATTCTTACAAAGACTTCCACTGTCTTACTTGTCTACCATTCCAGTAAAGATCCTAGGCTAACACTTGAGGTTTTCCAAGTGTTTGTGTTTGCAGATTCTACACTTAGTCTCGTGCAACACCTGTCAAATTATTACATGGTATGAGAGCTATCTGGATTTAAGACTACTGTCAACAATGACTGGGACATCACCAGCACCATCTACCGGATCCAGTTCTGGAACTACTGGAGTACCTGTCTCCACGACCGCCACTGGTCTCTCAGCCTCTGGACCGTTTCCACTGGCTTATGCGCACATCAGTATGCAGCAGCAGAATCCGCCTTCTGTCAGTACTCCAGGTGTTTCATCGACTGCACGTACAGCGCAACAACAACAAACACAGGCAACAGCACAACATCAGGCAACAGCACAGCAACAAGCAACACCACAGCAGTTTTCAACACAGTCAATATCGTCAGCGTTTAGTGGAATGAGCCTTGACGGCTCAAGTTACATGCGTGGAGCTTCAGCTCCAAGTACTGGCTCATTTGCCTTCTCGCCGTTTACGCAGCAGCCGCAGTCGCAGCAGCAGCAGCCCTTTTACATCTTCGGGCGATCACCTGCTCAGCAACAACAACAGCAACAGCAACATCAGCAACAACAGCAACAACTGCAGCATCCACAGCAATTCCAGCAACAGCAACAACCTCAACAACAGGGGATTATTTTTCAACCGCCAAATCTACTTACCAGCACGCAGATCAAGACTACTATACCTTTTAACGGAGTTGAATTTTACTCCTGGAGCTTCGAGTTTGAGCTTCTGGCGCAGTTCGCTGGGCTATGGCCGTTCTTCACCGGCGAGTTTACGTATCCTGTCATGGGAACACAACTGGAGCAACAGAGTTTCCTGCACGCCTCTCTCGGGGCGTATACGGTTCTAGTTCGGAACCTGTCGCCAAAGGAGCAGCTTGGCGTTCGATCTTTTCATTCAAGCTTCACGCCAGCTGAAACTGCATGGAACCACTTAAAGGGGGTGTACATGGCAAAAGACACAATAACAGCAAGTAAGATTCTTTCGCAGCTGACAAGTGTGCAGATGATGACAAACGAGAATGTCATGGATTACGTCAATCGTGTTCGCACACTACAAGATCAACTGGAGAAGAGTGGAGGATACTTCCCTCGTGAGATGTATCTCATGGTCCTTCTTGCTGGACTTGGTCCCGAGTGGCGACAGACGCGCGCCTTCTTGCGCATGAATCCGAACCTCTCAGAAACCGAAATTTCGTCGTATCTTCAAGCGGAACAGCAAGATCTTGACCTGCAGTCACAACGCAATCAGAAGAAAGGATTACAATTAAGTTTTTACTCAAATCCAGAGCCACAGCAACGACTTCCCCCGAAATATCCCTTCTGCCATTTCTGCAAGAAACCAGGACATACTTACCAAACTTGTCGCAGTCGTTGTCAAAACCGTCGCAGCACTTCGCAACCATATCATCGTTCGCAGCAGTTACCGAAGCCACATCAGCAAATGCAGCAGTCGACGTCCCAGACGCAGCAGATGCCGCAGAGTACACCGCCATCACAGCATCGTCCTCCGGTCTTTGCATCTGCAACATCAGGAAAAGGGGTTTTTGGATGTGTTACAACAGTTGATATTTCAGATACAGATTTCGAGACACAACTTGAAGAAACCACCAGTGCAGAGGGCATTCCCTTACCGCAAGTTTACGCTAACCTTGCTCGAGTCATTTCAGGACCCAATACTTGGTATCTCGACAGCTGTTGCGGTTGGCACATGTGCTCCGCTGAAACAAGCGTCATCACCAACCAGTGTCCTCTTCATCGTCCGATAACAGTCACAGTTGCAAACGGACAAACCATTATGGCAAGATCTATTGGGAGTGTAATACTTGAATCAGTCGACACGGGATATTCCTTACACGTTACCAATGTTCCTATCGTCGCCAGCCTTGGTTTCAATCTTCTCTCCACAGCTCAACTCCTGGCACACAAGATTCGCACACAAGGGAATTGTGATACAATGGATCAGGAGTTATGGCACAGTTTATCAAATACTTACCTCGGTCGCGCTGCTACTCAACATGGAGTATCAGTTCTTCAGTTCACAGCACAGGGCACCTCTGGTGATTCTGAACGCGTCCTTGGTCTCGGTCCCTGGGGTCACCCAGAAGAAACATATTATATACACGTGGATATTGTTTTTCGGGCAACTACTGTACCAACAGCTTCTAGAACTGTAGCTGCCGTTCTTACCGCACTGGATACTTGGGAGTTTAATACCGCCGATGAAGGCGCCAATGCTTGGCGAACCTTCTATAACACCCGTGCAGCCTTCCAAGGAACTCCAGCTCCACTTTGGGGAGAAATCAGTGGACTTGCAGCTGATGAACCCGAAGTCGTCGAGGAAGCCGTGAAAGAAGAAGTCGCCGAGCAGCCGAGTCTTCCAGTAGCTGTCGCAGGACCATCTGCCATCAAACTGTAACATCAAAAGAAGCAGTATCAGAAATTGCAGTCGCAAATACAGCAGACACTTCAAATGTTCAGTTACCCCTTACCCGTTTCGTCGAAGGGGAGATTGACATGTCTCCAGCTCTTTCTCCTTTCATCATTTCTTCATTTTATACTAACGCCGACTTTTATCTGCGATCATCAGGACACAAAGCCACATAAGAAATTTGGCACCAACGGTTAGGACATCCATCGCAAGGGATTTTAAATCATTGAATCCGAGCAGCAGTTCTTGATAAAAACAGTCTTCTCTTACCTGACGGCACGGAGATGAAACCGCAGTCTCGCCCAACGGTCTGCACCACGTGTCCGGTCACCAATCTTACCCACGACCCGTTTTCGAGTCATTTTCCTGGCTCCACTCGTTACAAACTGATGCAGAAGGTCTACAGCGATATTCTTAACTTACCTGAAGCAGGACCTAAAGAAGAGCTGTACGTGATTACCTTCATCGAAGCATCTACTCGATATGTTTGGACAGCAAACCTTCCTGCTCGACATCTCGCCCATTCAGTCTTCGTCGCATGGCTCGCCGTCGCTGAAAGAGAGTCTTGAGCAAAACTGCAAGAATTCCAGAGTGATGGCGCAGGGGAGTACACGAGCAACGCTTTCACAGACTACCTCCAGACACTCGGCATCAAACGGAAGCAGTCACTGCCACATGCACACCAACAGATGGGGGTAGCAGAAAGGATGAATCGGACTCTGCAGGAGAAGATGCGTGCTCTGCTGACGCAGGCAGCCCTTCCTCCTCGCTTTTGGCCGTATGCGATGGACCACGCGGTGCTGTTACACAACCTGCTGTCTTCCACATCACTGCCCGAGTTTTCTTCACCTCACCTGCAGTGGACACGAACAGTGGGAAGTACAAAACTTTTACGAGTTTTTGGGTGTGTCGTGCAGTTTCGTCCTCCAACTGCAGCACTCGGCAAATTTTCCGAACGGGCAAAATGGGGGGTACACCTCGGCATCGAAAAATAGTATCATGCATGGAAGATTTTGGATCTTCGTTCAAACCAAATTGTCCCTTCACGTGATCATCTCTTCTATGAAAGACTCACCTTGCCAGTTTTTCGTGCCCACCAGGCAGCAGCTGCAAACCCTGCCAGGCTGTTCGAAGGCTCGCGTGCATTTGCAACTGACGAAGCCGAAGCTGATGTACAGGACGAGGCGGTTTCTGAAGCTTCCGAAGCTACCGCAACTGACATTCCCGAACCTGTCACGTCAACAGGCATCCCGTAATTTATTCCCCTCGCTGATGTTGACCCGGATGACGTTCCGAAGTCCACCTCAGCTACGAACGCGATCGCCAACAGCAGCCGATGCCACCCGTCTCCGACGAAGCAGTTCGTGTTACACCTAACGAAATTGGGGGGGGGGAGAAGGGTCAGAAGAAAATTTCGCAGGTGCAAACGAAGAACGTCCGCGTTTTACAGAAACTGGCTTACAGATACTTGGATTCGCAGTCGCAGTACAGTACAACGACAGTAAAATATCTTAACCGAAAACCGTTCGACAAGCTCTTACGAGTCCTTACCGCGAAAAATGGCGCAAAGCCATGGACAGAGAGCTAGCAGCTCTCAAGACTCGCGGCACATGGGAGTTAGTACCGACATCAGAAGTAAAAGGGAGGAAGGTACTTGCCGGGAAGTGGGTCTTCCGTGTCAAGACTAATGCAGATGGGTCGTTTGAGAAATTCAAGGCGTGATGGGTCATCCGCGGGTTCGAGCAGACTTACGGCATCGACTACGAGTTAACTTTTGCTCCCGTCGGTCGACATACGAGCGTTCGGATTTTACTCTGTGTCGCCGCCTGCCGCAATCTACGACTTCGACAAATCGACGTGGCAAACGCATTTCTCTACGCACCCGTCGACACACTCATTCTGGTAGAGTACCCACATTCGTATACTACTAACCCACCGAGCGTATGCCGTCTCCGAAATTCGCTATACGGCATTAAACAGGCACCCCGGCTATGCGAGCAGTACCTACAGTACATTCACAGCTACTCACTGCTGGATTCCGTCAACTACCGCATGACCAGGGGATGTATCTTTTAACTGACAGGAGCAACTATATTTTACTTGTCGCCTACGTCGACGATATTCTCTACGTCAGTACTACCGACTCGCTCGCCAATACCTTCATACTGAAACTACAGAAAAATCTACAGCTTACCGTCTCCGAGACAGTCTCACAGTTTCTCGGTTTAAATATTACCTACTCACCGACGTCTATTCACCTCACCGCTTCGAAGTACGCAGCGACGCTCGCTGCCCGCTTCAACCTCACTCCTTCTACAGTCACTACACCGTACCGATCACTACCGACAGACTACAAACCGAATACTACACCGTTGAGTCTAACCGACCTACAGACCGATCAACAGCAGTTAGGCTGTCTACTCTTCACCGCTGTTACTTGTCGTCCAGATCTAGCGTACGCGGCTAGTCAACTCGCACAGTTCCTACGCCGTCCTGAAGAAGAACACCAACTCGATCTTCTTCGCGCGCTTCAGTATTTCGTCTCGACTCCTGACGTCGGCTTAGTCTACAACGTCGTCGGCTGTAAAACTCTATACCTACACCGTTTCGTCGGCGCCGACCACGCTGCTGATACTACTAATCGGCGCTCGCGTGCTGGATTCATCTACCGCCTTGAACCTATCGGCCCTATTTCTTGGAATTCGATGAAGCAGGAGCGGATTGCTCTCTCCTCTGCTGAAGCTGAATTTATCGCTGTCTGCACAGCAAAACGCGAAGGACTTTACCTGCAGGAGCTCTTGGAAGAAGCAAAGTTGACGACAAGTACTCATATCACTTTACAGTGTGACAACCAGAGTGCAATTCGCATCGCGCATCAACCTGGCTTCGTGAACAGGACGAAACATATTTCACTACGTTATTTTTTCGTCAAGGATGAAGTCGAGAAGGGGAGAATGCGATTGGTCTATTGTTCGACCAACGAAATGGCTGCCGACTTCCTCACGAAGAAGCTGACACGACAGAAGTTTCAGTACTGTAACAAGCTTTGCGGGATCTTCAAGAAGTGACACTGTCGAACTTCCAGAAATGAAGGGGAGTGTTGTGATATAATGCATACTTAGCATTTCTGTAAGTCGATTATCGGTAGATAGTGTCGAATCCTACAGTAGAATATAAGTCCGTAGGATGACGTCAGCAAATAGCACTCGTCATGAGGACAGTCGTTTCAGTCGCGCGAATAGTTGCGTCTCTTCATTATCATTTAGGGCAAATAGTGCGATAGTGACGAACAGGTACATTAGCGAACAAGTACTTTCCTAGAGCTATAAAATCCTTGTTATGCCTTTCTATTGTTAACCTTGAGATTTCAACTTTGAGACTTTAAACTTGACTTCAACTGAATTATATACTCAGGTTCATTCTTACAAAGACTTCCGCTGCCTTACTAGTCTACCATTCCAGTAAAGATCCTAGGCTAACACTTGAGGTTTTCCAAGTGTCTGTGTTTGCAGATTCTACACTTACTGTAGTCCCCTGCAACACCTGTCAAATTATTACAGTGCTGAGCAAGAAACACGCAGCTTAGGGTGGCACTACTAGTCCAAACTCTGAGACAGGGGTCCGAAAACCAGTCAGCAAGAGTATAAACAAGACAGGAGCAAAACAGGGCGGCACTACTAGTCCGGCCACTGGAAGAGAAGCCACAAGGCCAGTCTGAAAGGTATATATAAAGAGGAGTACACAATCAAGGTCCTAGCAAGTGAGAATCTACAGGAACTAGACCAAGCTACAAACAGTGCCGCTGATGATCCTTAGGCGCAAGCGCTTTAGTAAAGATATCAGCTATGTTGGCACCAGAGGCCAAGTGTACTACGCAGGCCTGGCGACGCTGTTGTAGCTCGCGCAGGAGGAAGTACCGCAGCTGGATGTGCTTCGCTCTGCCCTCAAGTCGAGGCTCTTGACAAAGGAGGATCATGGTCCTGTTGTCAGCGTTCAGAACCGGGGCAGAGCTAGGCCGCTCACCTAAGTCGGTGAGCAAGAAGGCCAGCCAGCAGAGCTCCTGTGCCGCCATGGCACCGGCGTAGATCTCAGACTCACAGCTAGACTGGGCAACAGACGAGGAGCGAGTGGACCTCCATGAGATGGCACCTGAACCAACGCTAAAGCAGTAGCCCTGAGAGGACCTGAGGGTCTCAGCGTCGTCTGCCCAAGATGCGTCTGTGTGCCCAGTAAGGACCACTGGCCTACGTCCTCCCAGCACTAACCCCGTGCCCGTTGTACTTGCTAGATAACGCAAAACTCTCTTAGCGGGCGACCAGTGCTGTGGTCGGTGTCTGCCTGTGGCCACAAAGCGAGCCATGATGCTGAGAGGGTATGCGAGATCTGGACGAGTGCAAGTCATTAGGTACATGAGGCAACCCACCAGCTCTGCGTAAGGACCAATGGGCTTTATTGACTCCTCTGGAACTGGAGCAGAGAGCCTGTGGTCTACTGGCTGAGGTGTGGGCTGTGCGGAGGAGAGTTGAAGACCGAACCTCTGAAGGACTTGGCGCACCAAGTGTGACTGTGAGAGAGTGATGGTGCACGCTGCTCTGTCCCTGGAGATCTGCAGACCAAGGTAGCGGCGCAGCTCTCCTAGGTCAGCGCAGGTGTGTCTCCTCAGCAGCTCGGCCTTCACAGAGACTAGTGCGTCTCTGTCTGCAGTAGCGAAGACCAGGTCGTCTACGTAGACAAGGATGTAGAACGGAGTCTGGCCAGCACGAACGAAGAGCGAGGGGTCTGCAGAGGACGGAAAGAACTGCACGTCAGCTAGCGTAGCACGCAGCATGTCGTGCCACTCACAGGGCGCCTGACGTAGGCCGTAGACCGGGTGCCGGAGAAGCCACTGCGTCCTAGGAGGGATGGTACCGGTGAAGCCGTGTAGACGGCGCAGGTAGACCTGCTCGTGTAGACTGCCCTGGAGAAACGCTGTGGAGAAGTCGAGGGAGTGTAACTCGTAGTCATGCTGTGCGATTACGTGCAGCAGCGCCCGAAGAGTAGTCGTCTTCGGGGTCGGGGCGAAGGTCTGAAAGAAGTCCACCCCCTCACGCTGACTGAAGCCTCTAGCCACGTAGCGTGCCTTGAATACAGGCGGCTCTCCAGGGGGGCGCTTCACTTTGAAGAGCCACCGGCCATCGACCACGTTCACCCCAGGTGGGGGAACTGCGTCGACGTTGGTGCCGGTGGATCTCCAATATGACATCTCCTGCTCCATGGCAGCTATCCACTGAGAGGCCCACGGTCCCGAGGTGGCCTCAGCGTAAGTGCGAGGGGTCGGGATGTCAAAGGCGTCAGGGTCACCCTCATGGACTAGCAGCATGGAACAGAGATGGGGAGCAGCCTCAGACAGGAAAGCAAGCTCGTACTGCCTATCCTCTAGGACGTCACTGCCAAGGGCATGCGCACCCCCAAGGGATAGAGGGCAGACACGGTCAGAGACCAGAGCGGTGGCGTATTCAAGGTGGCGGATAGAGGCGAAGTCAGCGATAGCAGCGACAAGAGCGTCACGACTGGAGACAAGAACCGACGGGTCGGTAACGAGGAATGCAAGGACCCGAGGAACAAAAGGACGAGCAGCACCAAGGTAGTTAGAGAGAGGGGGAGGCGCGACAGCGAGCGACGACGGAGGAGGCGAAGGCAGGAGGGGAGGACGAAACGCGTAGGAACGAAGCAACATAGGGTGAGAACGCTGAACAGGAGATACAGGACGAGCACGAGAGGGACGGCGAGACCAGACGTGAGACGAAGGCATCTGGTTAGGAGACAGAGGAGGAGACACAAGGGAGGAACGAGGGGGAAGACGAGCCGGAGACGAGTTCGGTGGAGGGAACACAGGGCCTTAGACAGGAAGAGGAGGAGGTGGCGGGGGAGGCGCAAGCGAGCGGTCAGGGGAGGGAAGGCCGAGCAGGCAAAGGGCGGACACCGGCGGCGACTGCTGCTGCTGCTACTGCTCGACGCCGACACCTGGACCGCCAGCTGCACCACGGCCACCGCCGGAACACACCACGCCAGCACCCCCAAAAACGCCCACCCTAAGAGCGAGAACTCTCTCCAGCACCGGTGCCACCCCTATGCCCACCGGGACAAGCCACGACAGGAACCCCTGGATTAGCACCCTCCTCAACGCCAGCAACCCCAGAGTCCACGAGCGGCTGCAACTGCGGCGGCAGCAGCGGCTGCTGCGGCGGCAACTGCGACGGCGGAGGAGGAGACACCAAGGGAGTGGCAGGCAGCGAGAATGGCGCCGCGGGGCCACCAGAGTCAGCCGACTCCTCGATCGGGACAACCGACAAGAGGGGAGTGACGTGAGACACACCAGACGGAGCAGGACGGGGAGGGAGGTGAACAGGGGCTACCGGGGGAGTGGGAACCAGAAAGAGGGGAGTTGGACCCAAGAGACCTCGGTGGGAAAAGCGGTGGTAAAAGGAGACAGAATCGTCGAAAGTAGCTTCATGGGAGTGAAAGAAGCGGTGAGACGGCGGGTTGTAAAAGTGCCAGTCAGTCGAGTCAAGTGGGAAAACCCAGGAAGACACAGGGGACAGTGCGGGCAGTGAGCTTGTCCGTGCCAGAGGCACGAACATGAGCGAGGCAGCCCCAGACGTGGAATGCGAACGCATCATCAGGGAACCCGGTCCAAAGAAGGGTCGACGAAACCTGTGGTCGCTGGGAGCGCGGCCACAGGTTAAGCTGGTGAGCGGCGTAGCGAACGCCGAACGGCCACAGGAAATGGGATGCACCGGCATGGATCATTGAGGTACGAGCCACCTCCATGACCAAACCGATGCGTCGCTCAGCGACCCCATTCTGCTGCGGGGAGTCCGGTAGGGTGTACGACTGGGTGATGCCCTACGCACGATAGAACTGTCCAAGCCGGCCAGAGGCAAACTCGCCGTCACGGTCAGAGTGGAGACACAGCACAGGGAGACCGTGGTGGAGGCGTGCAGCTACGACGCGCGCGATAAGAACGTCAGGCACGTCGGCCTTCCGCTTCATATGTAACATGCATAGGAGGGGCCGGCGGGGTGTGGGGGGATAGCTACTAATGCATTAGACGGCGGATCCGACTTAGAGACACTCTACGAAACAAGCGTGAAAGTGGCGGATAACGTGGAAAGAAAAAAGCGAAGACGATGCAGCAAGTATGGAATCAGGAACACAACGATGGGTGCAAAGCTATAAGGTGAAGGCTGGGTAAGTTGTGGTTCCCTCTAGTAGTACGGTGCAGTAAGTTTGTTTCCGGTGGCGTGCTCTGGGAAGATAGGTGAGAACGATTAAGTGGGGTATTGAGATAAACTTGTGCATTTGAGCCCAGCCTTGGTTTCATTTGGTTGGTCGATACACTTCGTGCCAGCACCACAACAGTCGTGCACGCGTGGCGCTTGCTATTGGCTGGCTTCGTAGGCACTGCACACCAATAATATCATGTACTCGTTTACAGGGCTGCGCTAGTAGCAAGTAGTTGTAACATTTAGTATATTGTATGTTGTAACAGCGTCTTTGTGAACCAAAGTTTCCGTCCTCCCACAGGCCAACCAATCAGAAGGGGCTCGGCCTTTTTTGTAGGCACGTGTGCGCGAAATTCAACGCGGTAACTTGGTTGGCGTGCAAAACTAGCAGCATCAGGATGTCGCCGCCCCTTTTCGCCGAAGCCCCCTCACACGACTTTGATGAGGGGGGTACAGTCATCTTTAGGGTTTCGCACTGGTTGTCACATTTTGCCAACAAACAAAATAGAGTCAACTTTGCCTGTGCCCAGCGGAGACTAGACACTTCAGTTTTTTGCGGGGCCAACTTTTTTGTGACGACAAAGTGTATGGTTCAAGTAGGAGTCGTGTACTTACATTAGATTCAAGTCAACTTAACGAAACTAGAGCAGATGCTTTCAGAGCGTTTCAGAGCGGTACCATGGGTTCCCTTAATCTTTCGCGTACGCTCTACTCTGTCTCAAGAAGTTTTGCATCCTCAGCCGCATCACACGGCTCAGCAGCACTCAAGTTCAGGCTTGAGATGCAGAGCGTATCAGGGAGTGTTCCTAAACGACACGATGCCAGGTCCCTTCGTGAGTTCTTGAGATTTTGCTGGTAACAAATTCCCGTAAATAACATTTTGACACGCAGTAGCACGACATGGCATCGCGTAGGAGCAGGCCCTCAGGCTGACTCCGGAATCAAATCGTCCATCCGATTAGTCGGGGCATCGTTTGACAAACGCAGTCGCATCCAGTCTACGAACACAAGAAGCGCCAAGCGGAACCCACGTTCGAAGACTAGTTGCCCTGAATGTATAAGATTTTATGGTAGTTTTCGGCATTGAGTTTGGAAATTCTAGTTTCGAAAATGTTTTCAAGTGGCGGGCGCGGGACTCTGGACAATTTAGACGTAAACATTTCCACCACCTGCCAAACCTTTCTCATTTTCGATTGTGAGGCTGGGAACCTTGTTTTGGTCAATGCACCCTCGCGCCCAGGGGCTATGCTCGACGAGCAACTACCCAAATGCTGATTCTTAACGGGTGTCTTTTGACCGGAACTCCCTTTTTGACGGATTCGGGTCACACCGACTCCGCTGGTTCTGGGGTCTCTGTTTGCTCGAACCTGGCTTTTAGCCTGCGTTCTGGCGGATTTTGACCCGAAAACGGGCCCTGACGGGTACGATGTCCCCCAGATGACTGGTTAAAAATCCATTCTGAAGTCCCGCGCTCCCAGAGTAAATCCTGAGGGGTACCATGGTCCATCCATGGGTTCCCTCGTTCAGGGAGCCCTTCTCCGCAACAAAGTTCCACATCCCCAGCCGCATCACACGGCTCACACACACACCCAACGCGTTTCGAGACGCACACAAAAATCAATCGACAATCCGATTGGTCGGGGCATTGCATGACTCGAAACGCAGTGCTTTTCTTTCTGCCGAGGTTAAACACAAAACAAGCAGCCATACCACGATAAAACGCATGAGACCGCGTGTTTATTCTCTACACCGCTTGTCACCCATGTTCATTTTCGAGCGTGAGTCCCGGAACCCTTGTTTCCTCCACAGCCCACCTCACGCGCTGAGAACCCAGCCACTTCTGCTCCAACGAATGCATAAAGCAGAGCCCTGTTCTGCTCGTTACATCACACAAGCACGTGAACACACATTGCCCAGAAACACCCGATCCTTCTGCTTCTCTCTTCCGCCGAGTAGTCCTCTCAAAAACTTCGAGGTCCTCTCCCTCTTCACTCGTTCCGTCGAGAAATTATCTCGCTCCCTCTTTTCCAAGCCGCGCGAGGCATGGCATCGTGGTGGAACCAGCTGGCGATTCTCGGAATTTGCGCGCTGATCGCGGTGCTCGTCGCGCCGGCGGCGGCGAAGCGGCCCAGCAAGGAGGAGGTGATCGCAGAGGTGAAGAGCGCGCGCGACGCACTCAAGAACCCCGCGATTTCCAGCAAATACCGAATAACCACCACCTTCCTCGACCACTTCATCCCGAAATTGGGTAAGTAGCATGAAAGCTCTCTGTTAAAAGCTACATCTCTCGGCATGTTTAAACCGGAGTTATAACTCGTCAACACCTTTTGCGCTCAACTATTCTAGTCCACGTTCTCCTCATAGCTTTCATCATGAAATGTGTTGACGAAATCGAGCTCTGGTTTCTTGTGTTGGTGTGAGCAATGCAATGCAATGCTTCAGAGAGCGACTGGAATCCGACGGACGAGACGCTCGGCAAGCTGGACCGCAAGGCCATGCTCTTCCCCGCGGACGACGCGCTGCTCACCTCCGACTCCGCCGGCGCGGGCGTGAGCATGATGCTGAACCCGAACGCGGACCTGGAGGACGCCAAAGGGTACTGGAACTGGCTGCGCGCCAACATGGTGGACGGGCTCTACTCGGAGCAGGAGATGAGCGACGCGCGTGAGCTCAAGGACGTCAATGGCCGCAAGATGAGCAAGAGTGAGGACGCCGCCGCCGCCGCGTCGGCGAATCTGAGGGGGGGGAGGAAGATGCGGTTCGGGAAGGCCAACGCGCAGATTAACGACCCTGAGATTTTCAAAGGGACGTTTCTGATCGTTCATGGTGTGGACGCTCTGCAGTCGCCGTACTGACCCGCCTGCCGGATCAAAGCGTTTGTGCGAAAAGAAGCTCGTCTGGCTGATCAGCTTCGTAGGCCCTACGACTATTGGAGAAAATCTCGCGAATCCCGTTCCGCAGCGAAAATTGGAATATAATCGGACGCGCGAGACGGGATTCGTGAGATTCGCGAGATTCTCTCCATCTATTGTGTGTTTCCTTGGCGCTCTCATGTGTCTAGATTACGCGTTCCTGGGTAGAGCTATCTGGGTGGAGCAACGCATTAGTGTGATGGTGCTTGGCTGGAGGCTCCGGCTAGGATGGGGTTTACGGAGGGGGGGGTAGTAGATTGGAGAAATGCAGCGGAGGGTGAAAGGCTTTGTTCGGTGTACAAACTTCAGAAGTAATTATTTACTAGTTGATGCGTTTGAAGTTGCTCCATACATAACTTTTCATGCAGCATGATGCTGTCCTTGTCCATGCATCCTGATTAGAGTCTCTTCAAATTACGATATGGAAGCTAGGAATAGAGCCGCTACAGGTTGGATAGGAAATTACACCAGATAAAGAAAGAGTGTCGCTGTTACACAGAATGCGCGTTGATTTGAAACAACCTTACAGAATGGTCGTCTGAACAGGAGGCTAGCTCCAAGCAGCTTCCTTCCCCCTTTTCTACGCCCGCCTCCCTACTATCCTCAACCCTCGTCCCTCCTGCCCTGCTATCTCCCCTCCCACCCTCCCCTCGCCATCGCAGCCTATGAACAGCTGCCAGGTGGCAATGAATGTCACTGAAAGTCACCAAAAGCCTTGACTGGAGAAGGTGAGGTGGTGGTGGCGGTTGGTCCAAGCGTCTGCGCTTGTGTTGCTTGCGCCTTTGCTGCTTCTGCCTGCGGCTGTGCGGTAAGGAGGCTTCCACCGCGTGTTGCAACTTGCAGCGCGCGAGCTCCAGCTGCGCTCCAAGCAGGGGCACTGGGGGGAGTAGAAACATCAGCAAGAAGCCGTCCCTCTGCCCGCGAGCTCCTGCTGCACTCCTGCAGCTTTTGCTGCTGTCATCCCATTGACCGTCACTGGTGTCGTTGTCATTGCTATTGCTAATGTGTTACCCTCAACATTGCTTACAATCTGAATTTACTCCTCCATTCGTCCACCCCCAATCATTTCACGCCCATTACTTCTCACCTTCTCACCTCCATTCGTCTAACCTTCCCTTCCCCAGTTTCTGCAACTTTTGCTCATCTTTTGACGATCTAGGTCGGTATTTCTCTCACTTCCTGTCTTCCCTGCTCCGTTGTCTTATCTTGCCGTTGATAACTCGTTCATCTGTTCCTCGCTTTCCCCTCTTTCTGCCTCCCCTCACCAATCACTGTTCGCTGCTTTGAGTCCCTGCATCTCACTGTCATCTATACTGATCCCAATAACTTCCTCTCACCAATCTCTGACTCACCATAACCCACTCTCATGCTTGAATCATGTTGCCCTGCCTGTAGTTTGTGCCTGCCAGCCAAGTCAGATTCCCAAGTCAGATTCCTGAGTCAGATTCCCAAGTCAGATTCCCAAGTCAGATTCCCATGTCAGATTCCCATGTCAGATTCCCATGTCAGATTCCCAAGTCCGATTCCCATGTCAGATCCCCAGGTCAGATACCAAAATCAGATTCCATCGCAAAAAGTGCAACGTTCACAGATCGTTTTCACCATTCGAGCTCGGGCATAAAGTCGGAAATCGTCCGCCAAGTGTTCGCCAAATGTTTTTTTCTCGTTTCTTTGCACGTAAATGATTCGCGAGTCTTCTGCGGATGGGATGTTATGCGAATGAGTTGTTTTGTGAATGTTACACCTGAATGATAAACATGTTCCCGTGGCTTATATTTGCATAAATGATTGGTTTTTGTACACTTAAACTTCTACAAAGTTTTAAAATTGTGCATAAGTAACTGAAATATAATAATATATAAAATATGTGCAATTTGCCAAAAAAACTAACTGAATCCAACCCCAACCAACTCAACCCATATCTCACACGCTATTCGAGGTTCGGCGAGACCTGTAACCAGGCTGGGTTACGCAGCTCCAATGGGTTGCGAAACCCAGATACCACGTCCTAACCCTATGCACCGTGAGGAAATTGAACAACCCCCTCGGGCATGAAAAGGGGCCATGCGATTGGTCGAAGCCAAACAACAACAATCGCAAACCCAACCCACAGCCTGCTCCCTCGACAGCAAAAACGACTAAGGGAAAGATGGTAGCAGATCTCGAATTCGGGATCTGTAATTTTCTCGACTTGCCCTCGTTTCCTCCTAGATCCATGCTCATGCGTAGCCATGCTAGAGAGTTGGTAGCGACTTATAAGATGGGATCGAGGCGACACCGACGTCAGGCTAGTGAACGCGGATATCAATTGAGGTTCTTGGCGCGCGTAGCCTAGCCTGGACGAAATCACCAGCGCCTGAAAACAAGGGCAGGAAACAAATGACGAATCCCCCGCTGCTAACGGCCCACCGTTGCGGGCCGCTATAGCTTCCCGCCGCCTTCGATCTCCTCGTACGAAAATGCCGCCCGCGGCTTCCCACATCGTGCTATCCCTGTCCTCGCGCTTCCTTGCTTCCCAAATCCCCGCTTCCCGCTTTCGAAAGCACGTCCGCATCTCACCTTCACGTGCTGCAGCATCTCGCTGTCCCTCGCTTCCTTCCACCCGCTTTCACCCGCGTCCCGCTATCGCTTGCTCCCCGAATCCCGTTTTCCCATGCTCCTCGCATTACCTTGCTCCCCGCATTCCAATGCTCCTCGCATTCCCATGCTTCCCTCATTCCCATTTTCCCGGCATTCCCATGTTCCCCGCATTCCCATGTTCCCCGCATTCCCTTGCTCCCCGCATCTCGCTTTCCCATGCTCCCTGCATTCCCTTGCTCCCCGCATCCCGCTTTCCCATGCTCCCCGCATTCCCATGTTCCCTGCATTCCCTTGCTCCCCGCATCCTGCTTTCCCATCCTCCCCGCATTCCCATGTTCCCCGCATTCCCTTGCTTGCTCCCCGCATCCCGCTTTCCCATGCTCGCTGCATTCCCTTGCTCCCCGCATTTCCTTGCTCCCCACATCCCGCATTCCCATGCTCCCCGCATTTCCTTGCTCCTCGCATCCCGCATTCCCATGTTCCCCGCATTCCCTTGCTCCCCGCACCCCGCTTTCCCATGCTCCCCGCATTCCCATGTTCCCCGCATTCCTTGCTCCCCGCACCCCGCTTTCCCATCCTCCCCGCATTCCCATGTTCCCCGCATTCCCTTGCTCCCCGCATCCCGCTTTCCCATGCTCTCTGCATTCCCTTGCTCCCTGCATTTCCTTGCTCCCCACATCCCGCATTCCCATGCTTCCCTCATTTCCTTGCTCCCCGCATCCCGCATTCCCATGCTCCCCGCATTCCCGTGTTCCCCGCATTCCCTTGCTCCCCGCACCCCGCTTTCCCATCCTCCCCGAATTCCCATGTTCCCCGCATTCCCTTGCTCCCCGCATCCCGCTTTCCCATGCTCTCCGCATTCCCATGCTCCCCGCATTCCCGTGTTCCCCGCATTCCCTTGCTCCCCGCACCCCGCTTTCCCATCCTCCCCGCATTCCCGTGTTCCCCGCATTCCCTTGCTTGCTCCCCGCATCCCGCTTTCCCATGCTCTCTGCATTCCCTTGCTCCCCGCATTTCCTTGCTCCCCACATCCCGCATTCCCATGCTCCCCGCATTTCCTTGCTCCTCGCATCCCGCATTCCCATGCTCCCCGCATTCCCGTGTTCCCCGCATTCCCTTGCTCCCCGCATCCCGCTTTCCCATGCTCTCCGCATTCCCTTGCTCCCCGCACCCCGCTTTCCCATCCTCCCCACATTCCCATGTTCCCCGCATTCCCTTGCTTGCTCCCCGCATCCCGCTTTCCCATGCTCTCTGCATTCCCTTGCTCCCCGCATTTCCTTGCTCCCCACATCCCGCATTCCCATGCTCCCCGCATTTCCTTGCTCCTCGCATCCCGCATTCCCATGCTCCCCGCATTCCCGTGTTCCCCGCATTCCCTTGCTCCCCGCATCCCGCTTTCCCATGCTCTCCGCATTCCCTTGCTCCCCGCACCCCGCTTTCCCATCCTCCCCACATTCCCATGTTCCCCGCATTCCCTTGCTTGCTCCCCGCATCCCGCTTTCCCATGCTCTCTGCATTCCCTTGCTCCCCGCATTTCCTTGCTCCCCACATCCCGCATTCCCATGCTCCCCGCATTTCCTTGCTCCTCGCATCCCGCATTCCCATGCTCCCCGCATTCCCGTGTTACCCGCATTCCCTTGCTCCCCGCACCCCGCTTTCCCATGCTCCCCGCATTCCCATGTTCCCCGCATTCCTTGCTCCCCGCACCCTGCTTTCCCATCCTCCCCGCATACCCATGTTCCCCGCATTCCCTTGCTCCCCGCATCCCGCTTTCCCATGCTCTCCGCATTCCCTTGCTCCCCGCTTTCCCATGCTCTCCGCATCCCCTTGCTCTCCGCATCCCCTTGCTCCCCGCATTTCTTTGCTCCCCACATCCCCCATTCCCATGTTCCCCGCATTCCCTTGCTCCCCGCACCACGTTTTCCCATCCTCCCCGCATTCCCTTGCTCCCTGCACCCCGCTTGCCCATGCTCCCCGCATTCCCATGCTCCCCGCATTCTCATGCTCCCCGCATTCCTTGCTCCCCGCATCCCGCTTTCCCTTGTTCCCCGCATTCCCATGCTCACCGCTGTCCCATGCCCCCGCTTTCCCATGCTCCCCTCATTCCATGCTCCCCGCATTCCCATGCTCCCCGTGCTCCCCGCATTCACATGCTTCGCGCATTCCCATGCTTCCCACATTCCCTTGCGACCCGCACCCCGCTTGCCCTCGCTAATCCGCTGCTGCCTCTCTCCCCTGTTTCCCGCCACCCGCTTCCCCTAGCTTCCGGCATGCCGCTTTCCCCCGCTTCCTGTTTCTGCCATTCCCCCCTTTTCACATCCCGCTTTCCCCCGGTAGCGACTAGCGCTTCCCGCTTTACCTCGCGGACCGCTTCCCGCTTTCCCTTGCGGGTCGCTTCCCACTTTCCCACGTTGTAACGTGTTACCCGCTTTTTCGCGCGCCGCAATCCCCTGCCTTCTCATTGAATGAAAACAGATAAAGGTTCAAGGCGCAGCAGCAGGGAAGAAAGCGAGGCCGCAGGGATGGGGAAGACAACAGATAGTAGCGAGCGGGAGAGGCGAGAGGGGAGGGAGAGGGGCACGAGAGCAGTGGAGGGGGGAAGGCGTGAGAGCAGGGAGGGAGTGAGGCATGAGAGCAAGGAGGGAGTGAGGCACGAGAGCAGGGAGGGAGTGAGGCATGAGAGCAGGGAGAGAGTGAGGCATGAGAGCAGGCGTG